CCTTTGATTATATGTAGATATAATGCGCCCCCGGCTCCTACGCCTATGCTATTTCAATCAAAAGTTAAAATTCTGCAAAAAGTTAAAATTAAAGGTTAGATATCTACTTACAAAGGATATCTAGAAATAAAAAAACTATAGATATCGATAATCAAAAGTTAAAATTCTGCAATCAAAAGTTAGATATCTGCATTCAAAAGTTAGATATCTGCATTCAAATGATAGAAATCTACAATCCATTGTTCAGATTCTGCAATCAACTGATAAAACAGGTACAACGCTGAGCGAGACGATAACTGCTTCGAGGCTTCACGAGGCAACGCGCGTGCGTCGTGTCAGCCAATGAAATGACTGGAATAGACGGTGTGAAGCGTTTTGGCATGCGCGTGATCCTACGCCAACCAGTGTTTTAAATTGTGCAGTCAGGTCAATCAAAACGAAGAAAAGTGGTGAGAAAGTATGATTCCAAGTACTTAGAAATGGGATTTACATGGAATGGAGATGAAGAAGATCCACGACCACGATGTATTATTTGTTGTGATCAACTTGCAAACGAGAGCATGCACCCAAACAAATTGCGTCGCCATATTGAGACAAAGCATCCCGAGTTGAAAGACAAACCCCTCAAAATTTTTGAAAGGATGCTAAGCAATTTGAAAACAGAACAGAGCGTTATGCAACGTTACACCAAAGTTAATGAAAAATCTTTGTATGTGTCCTACCTGATCAGTTTGAAAATCACAAAAGCTGGTAAACCACATACAATTGGAGAGACTTTAGTTCTACCAGCTATAAAAGATACAGTTAAAGTTGTCTTTGGTGATAAGAGTGAACAAGAAATTGAAACAATTCCTATTTCTAATAACACAGTCACGCTTAAGATTGATGAAATGTCTCGATGGATAGAAAATCAGCTAATTCAAAGAGTTCGTGAAAGTACAATTTTCTCCTTACAACTAGATGGATCTACTGATGTACAAGGTCTGTGCCAGCTACTTGTTTTTGTGCGTTATATATGGAACTCCGAACCTCATGAAGATATGTTGTGCTGTGAACCAGTCAGTCGAAGTACTAGCGATGATATTTTTAAGACTGTTGATACTTATGTCAAAACAAAAGGTCTTGATTGGAATAAATGTGTCGGAATATGTACGGACGGCGCACAGGCTATGTGTGGTAAAAACAGTGGTCTGGTGACCAGAATACTTGAACTTAATCCAAACGCATCATGGACTCACTGCAACCTTCACAGAGCAGTGTTAGTATCAAAATGTATATCTGATGATTTTAAAAGTGTTTTGAACACTTCCATTAAAATAGTGAACTTAATAAAGTCAAAGCCATTGCAATCGTGCTTATTTGAGAAGTTGTGCGAAGAAATGGGAAGCAATCATAAATCACTTCTTCTGCACACAGAAGTACGTTGGCTCTCGAGGGGTAAAGTGTTAACAAGACTTACAGAACTCCGTGAAGAAGTTGCTATATTTCTGGAAGGTAAAAGCGATTTTGCGAGATATTTGCGCAACGAGGAATTTGTTCTGAGGCTCACGTATTTGGCAGATATTTTTTCAAAACTAAACGAACTGAATTTGTACTTGCAAGGAGCAGAAGGTATCAGTATATTCGCAGTTCATGAGAAAATTCGAGGTTTTATGAAAAAACCTGTTCTATGGAAAAT